AATTTTTTTTCTTTACAGTAGTGAATCTCAACCAGAGGTGATTCGCCTCTCCTGCCCTGTGAGGACAGTTGCCAGTGTCTGGAGATGTTTTTGGTTGTCACAGCTGGAAAGGTGTTATTACACCTGGTGGGCAGAGACCAAGGATGCCACCACACATCCTGCAATGCCTAGAACAGCCCCTACAACCATGAATTATCCAGCCCAGAATATCAGTAGTGTTATGACTGAAAAAACCCACATTATAGGATTATTCTCAATTACTGAATCCTCCAGGAAGGGAATTCTGGACTCAAATTAATGAGTACCATTGGTCTGTTTGTCTGCCCCCCCTCCCTTGCTACATATAATCTATCCTACTTGCTCTCATCCAACCACAGACTCGTTTTCCATTTCAGAGGCCCAAAGTTGTTCACATGGCCTCTTCTCATTCTAGCTGAGAGTATCTGTTCCCAATTGTTTCTTTCAACTAATTAGTGATTTCAACTTTTGTTAAAATTTTAAGTGCCCACACCTTAAACCTGTTTTCCCACATTCCAGAATCCATGTATTCAACAAATATTGTTTGTTGCCTACTATGTGCTATGCTCTGCTCTAAGCTGTAGGGCTGCAGTGCTAACAGTTACAGATAGGATCCCATTACTTCATATACTTTGGTGAAGGAGAGACAGGTAATAAAGAAAGAAATGAGGTTATTGTCATATAGTGCTGCTTCTTTGAAGACAGGCAAATAGGATGTTCTGGTAGGAACTGGGAGAGGTGGAAGAAGTTTTCATTGAGGAGGTAATATTTAAACTAAGATAAAAATGACAAGAAGAAAATCTGGTGAAGAATTCCAGACTAAGGGGCCAGAAAAACTCACAGCCTCTAGAGCCAGAATAAGTTGAGAATGTTCAAAAGCAAACAAATGTGGTTTGATTCTAGTGAATGAGAAAGGAGAAGGGGCCAGATGACATAGAGGCTCCTATAACATGGTAGAGATTCAGGGATTCTCTTTATTGGAATGAAAAGCCACTATAGGATATTAAGCGGAGAGATAAGAAAATATGATATGTGTTTTGAAAGATAACTTTGGCTACTATTTGGAGAATGCCCTGTGGGAGGCACAGGTGGAATTGGGGAGTCACAAAGAAGGTTTTGGAAATACTGGGAGATGTTGTGGGCTTAGACTATGGCGTAGCAATGGAGGAGGACAGGATTGGTCGCCATCAGGAGGTATTTCAGAAATAGAGTTAACAGGCTGGATGATGAGTAGGGCATAAGGGGAAGACATAGTGATACTTGGATTTTTGACTTGAGAAACTGGATGGAAATTGATGTTATTTGCTGAAAGGTAGTACACTGACAAGTGAATAGATTAGAAGAGAAGAGCACGTGGTCTCTTTTGGAGCTGCATTATGTTTGATATGATATTCAAGTGAAGATGTTAAGGAGTTAGGATATGCAAATCAGGAGATCAGTGAGGAGATCAGAGATGGAAATGGAAATGTGGCATCATAATGCAAATTGTATTTTTAAAACCTTGGACCTGAACAAGATCACCGGAGGAGAATTTATTTATAGAGAAAAGAAAGGGACTTATGAAAGAACTTGGGGCAATCCAGCCTCCAGGAGTTCACATCTATTTGTTATGCTTTAAGTTTTAAAAAATAGATGTTTTCAACTACCACTTAACTATAACATATATAACAGATAAGATTACAAACAAATCATTCTCTAGACGTGAGGCTTAATCATCAAATCAGACCTTTTCTGTTCCTTCAAAGGAGCAGTAAGATATATTCATTCTGATAAAAGAAGTGGCTGAAACTTGAACATGAGTTTATCATCAGATTGAGAATCCCTTCTTTCTCAGTTTTTTTTCTTCTTTCTTTTTCATGTTTTTTCTTCTTTTCTTTTGGCAACTGTATCAAAGAACAAAAGAAAGCCTTTTAAAAATCTCTGGGCAACATTGGAGGGAGTTTTAGTTATTAAGTTCTGCAGCTCTTTTACTAAATTTAGCTAGTATTTTAATGAAAATATTCTTTTATGGTGGTGATTAAATAGCACACTTATGTCATGATTGTTTCATAGTCTAAGAGTTCTTGATTTCTTTGTGAAATATATAAAGTAATGGCTTTGATCCATTTAATTAGATAGGAACATGGGTCCTAAGAACATGAAAGACCTTAATAAGTATTTTTGAGTGAATGAATGAGTCCATGAGTGATAAATAAGCTAATAAAATGTCCAAATATGTAACATATTTATACAGATTAATAAGCTGTCCAACTCCTCTCACTTATAGGATAGTATATAAAATGTGAACACACTTTATAAGGCTCACTTGAGTAGATGAAAATATATTTCATGGATGACTTTTTTGGAAATGAATTAATCATACTCAATGCACTGCATCTTTTATTTCAGCTTACTCAACTCATTCCCTGTCAGACATTTTTGAGATGTTAAGTTAAGCTGAATACTCACTCATTTACTCTACAAACAAGTAATAAGTGTACACTATTTAGTGGGAATACATCTTGGTGCTCCATTGACTGTTAAAGTTCTTGTGGTTTAAGATTTTTTTCTGCTCATATGTCTATACTGTCAGTGTTTTTGATTGAGAGTCACTTACTATAGTTATATATGAGATAGAAACCTATGAGCTGTAACTTTATTCAGTCATGTAAAAAATGTTAGTGAAAATTATCTGTATTTGCTAATGTCACTACCTTATTCCAGTGTCTTTTGTTGAAGACCAGAACAAATCATGAAAGAGCAGATTTCAGAATTTCAAGAATGAGCTCCTTGGTTTAGCCATTAGAGCAGCCAGAGGAGAAAGATGGCTCACTTACAAAGCATCAACAGTGAGTTGGTGCAGGTAACTTTTCAACAGTCCTTGTGGAATCCAAAAGACGACTGTGGAATTAATCTTTAGTGTGCTACAAAAGATAGCCATCATTGTAAAATTTTAGATGCAGTGGAACTGTTCTCAAGAACCAGGATGAAATAAATTCAATCACAGAAAATTTTAAAAACTGAAGTTTGCCAACAAAGGACCTCTAAAGAATACATCTCAGAAAGAAATAACTAATACCAGAGGAAAATCCGAGATGAGAAAAGGAAAGTGAACAAAGAAAATGACATATATGTTGGTAAACTTCAGCCAATATCCTTTGAAAAAAGAAACATAATGTATGATTTGCAGTACTGAAAATGAGAAAAAGAAGAAAAAGAAAAAACTTGAGGTAAATTATTGAAAAGCTATATTATAAGGTAAGCCAAGAGGAGATCAGAATTAAAATACTCTAAAATCTTTTTGCTGTTTTAGAGGAGGTTAAAGATGCTGACTAACTTAAGGCTTCATTAAGTACATGGTTCACACTCATGGTATCAACAGGATGGATTTAGTATATATAAATATCAACATGGTAGAGTGGAAAAAATGGAAAGAGAAAAATACTATCCAATGCATTTCCAATTAAAATCCTAATATAATTGTAAAATGTATACAGGAAAGCAAAGGGTCAGGGAAAGCAAATTATTGAAGAAAATGGGGGGTTAGTTATAGTAACAGATATCAATAATTGATGAAAAAAGAATAGTAACTAAGACATGACATACTGATGAAGGAATAGAAAAACAGACCATAGAACAATATGGCAGACATACTGCCAATCACTGGAGGAAGATGAGCCATGCAGGCGATATTACTGGAATAATTGTTAATGTGAATTAAAAAAAACCTGAAAGTTTCCCTCAAACCAACACATGACACAAAAATCATAAAGGAAAAACTAACAAATTTGACTACCTTAAAATGTACACTATTAATCAAAATATATTTTTTAAATGAGAAGTATAGCCACAGAATGGCAGAAGATATTTACAATGTATAAAACCAAAAGGAATTTGAATCCATATCTAATGAATTTCCTCAGTAAGAAAAAGAAAAACTACTTAAAGAAAAAAAGGCAAAAGAATAAACAGGCATTTCACAGAAAAAAAAACACTTCAACACTCTAATAAATTCATGAAAAATAATCTTATTTTCAATCAAGGCAATTCAAATTAATAGCACAAGATGACATTATACCTACCAACTGGAAAATTTTTAAAGTAGGATAATAAGTCTTAGTGAGGCTTTGGAGAAAGGACAACTTTCACTTTCCCTGTATGTGTAAATTATACAGTGGGGTTGCTGACATGTACATTTAATGACTATAGTTTTCTTCCTATACATATAAGCTAGGAAAAGTTTCACATATGTACAACAGAATAAATTTACAACATTGGCCATAATAATAAAAACTAGAAATAACACAAATATCCATCAACAAGAAAATGAATAAATTTTGGTTCAGTGTTAACAGCAGTGAAATGAATGAGACAGTTACTTATATCAACACAAATCTCATAAACATAATGTTGAGCAGAAAAAAAATGCCATGAGAATAATACATGTGCTTTGATATCCCTTATACAAAACTTTAAAATATGCAAAACTAAACATTTCTGACTATATATATATATATATATAGTCAGAAATGTTTAGTATATATATATATATATACATATATATATATATATACAGCTAGCCAGAAAATTCAGAACTTACATCATCCCAAGGCCTTGGGATGATGTAAGTTCTGAATGCTGATGATCTATGAAAGGAAGCAAAGGGAGTGACTTCATAAAAAACTTTAATGATATATAAAATGCCCTATTTCATATATATTTCAATGTAGGTGTTCATTTAGCACTTTTCATACATTTTACATCTAATGTATTTCATTAATAAATGGAATTAAATAAACACCATATTGTATAATTTTGAAAATAAATAATAAAATACCATAATTTAAAAGTATAAAAAGGAAAAAACTTAAATTGTTCACTCCCCACCCTTATCACTTATCTTAAAATAAAAAAATACCAAAACAAAATGAATACATTACAAATCTTCTTTTAAAGTTTATTAAAGTCAACAGTATTAATCTTTTTCACTAAAGTAGGTTCCTAACTTTTTTTCAGAAAGAAAATCAACATATAATACATACGACTATTATTAATTAATGTATGTGTCTGCAAGGCATGAATCTCTTCAGGCTTTAGTTTCTTCATCTGCCAATTGGGATCAACAGATTCCTCAGAATTTTTCCTGCATTAAGTTTCTATGTATCAGTCTGGTTTATAACTTGAGTGCCCCCTTGACTAGGCAGGAGCACACAGTACAAGATGTGGTGTGTGGCAGGTAGAACCATGTCTTTCATCACTCTACCTGCAACTGCCTAGTTGCAGTGCCTGGCATGTGGTAAACAGTTAACTAAAGATCAATGGAATAAAGGATCCTGGCATTACATGCTAGAGAAGGCTGGGAATACCAACATCTCCTCGTATCCTAGAAGCCATTATAAAGCAAATTGGATGGCTTCAAACCACCATGGTAGGGATCATGGATAATAATTAACAAAAAGAAGAAACATTCATCGATTTTAGGGTACATGTGTTACACATTTTGTCTTCTCTGAAATCAAGGTGGGTCTTGCAGAAGGGGCCGTTTTTTCATATGCTGTCAGGCAGGTAGCAGTGTCATTGACTATGAAATGAACAAAGACATGCTTAGTTATTATTCCTGGTGACGTGATACAAAATAGAATTCCCTTGATGATTCAGTCAGTGAATCATTCAAGGAAAGAATGAGTCTTTGTCCTCTCTGCAAAGCCTCCACTGATATATTCTGATACAATCAAGAAACCCCAGCTTCAAAAATAATAAAATAGACATACTGAAATTTTTGAAGAAAATCTTGGAGACATCATAGAGCACCCTTTAAAGAAAATCTCCATCATAAAATGTTCTTGATGGTACAGAGATCAAGACTGATTGGAAAAACACAAAGAAATGTGAGTTGAAAGATAATTCAGAAAAGTTGCACTCTAAATGGGAATAGACTTTAGGAAAACCTTAACCAATGTATGTGGCTTTTATTTTCTATGTGTAAACAAGAATATATTTTTAAAAAACAGTTTGTCCTATCACTGGTCTAGTCACTGACACTACCAAGACTTAAGGGTATTATTCCCATTGTTAAATCATAGTTTTGGAAACTGGGAGCCAGGAGAGGGCAGCAGAGAACTAACTTAAAAGAGTTTTGTTTTGTTTTGTTTTCACTATATAAAGGCCATTTTATAGTTTATGAAGCTCTTTCACATATAGGAACTTCAGGCATCTCCATACACAGCTGGGGTAGGTGAGTTATTCCCATCCTCATTTAACAGACAAGGAAACTGAGACTTGGAGAAATGAAGTGACTAGTTTGAGGTGGCCCAGCTAAGGAGTGGTCCTTGACTTAAAACTAAGGAAGAGAGTTAACTTACATGCATTTTTCTCCTTCAAATGCTGGTAAAACCTTTGAGAAGCCAAGTGAGTGATCAGGAGGAGAAGTGGAGACGGGGGTCTGCTGATCTCCAGGTCAGCTAAGCCCAGGACCACGGTGTGTGGTGAAGACGTCATGAATCAGGATGAAGATGGGAACTAAGAAGTCAAACCAAAGACCAAGGGAGCTTAAGTAAATACAAAACCAGTCCATGAGCACTAGAGAGTAGGAGGTAGAGCAGGACCAAACCAGACATGGGCAGAGAGGAACATGCAGGTGGCATATCATGTTACCAGTGTTCCTGAGAGCGCCGTGAGTACCGGCAGGGTCCCAAGTCCTGCCCTTTCTGGGCTTGAAGTGGCCTAGCTTGAGATGTATTGAAAAAAAAACAGGACATCTCCTGGCCCCTCGGCAATAATATGTAAGCAAGACTCCAGGGTATTTTGTACGGGTGAAGATACAGATGAAATGAACAAAAGATATTTGCTGTGTTCTTATATCACTTCCTAGCAATTAAAAAAAAAAAATTCCCGGAGGGAGAGTTTCTGCTTCATTTACCAAGTGGTTGTGGTTTAAAAGCTCAAGTCAAGAAATGGAATATTTTGAAGCCCTGCTGGGAAAGGTATATATGATTCTTCACTCCAAAGAAATTGCACTGAATCTTTTGGCCTGCTAGGTGTAATCTAGGTGAAGTATTACTTTGTGTTGTCAAGATTCATTCCTTTACTGAGCAGTCATTTCACAAAGTAAGCTATGTGGTTAGGATTTGAAGGTTTTTGTTCCCGCTGAAACTGAGATGGGGAATGTTCTGAGGCAAACGAGTGCAAACTCTACTTAATATTCTCGTGCATGGCCACCTCTTGGGAACATCCCTGAAGAGGCAGTTTGAAAGGTGTGCCCACAGCTGTGTGTTTGTAGGGAAGGTGGGTCTCAGAATACAGAACAGAGAAGCAGAGCTTCCAGATTCCACAGTGCATGCAAGACACCAATAAACACGAGTATTAGCGCTCCCAGAAATCACATGAGCAGGAAAAGAAAAGCATTCAACATTCCCCATTTCTTATTTAAATAAGTCATGCTTTATACTGGGTGATGGAAGAGAGGATATTTGTAGGTAATTACTTAAGTGTAAGAAGATGGTAAAGATAGGATTGGTATTTCTTGTTCCAACAAAATCTGTACTTCCCCCAGACCATTATATGTTCATTTTCTGAGGCCTTATGCAGTATATAATCGTACAAATACTTGGAGAGCTGAATGGTTCAAACTCATATAGTCATTTTGTTAACGATTATATGACTTTAACTCTCTTTTTGTTTTTATTCTGGGACAACAAATACAATTCCTAAGTATATGTTTATAGTCATATCTACATTTGTATTTATTCCCAGAGTGAAGAAAATGCAGCATAGAAAGACCCCAAGTTTTAGAATCAAATGGCCCTGGATGTATAATATTTACCCAGATTTTATCCCTCATTTATTGGTTGATTTTGGTCAAGTTATACAATATCTTTGAGCCTTGATTTCATCTATCAAGTAGAGTTACAAACACCCACATTATAGTATTTTTAAAGGAATTGAATAAATATATATTCCTTCTCTGGACTTTACGTTAAGGGCATTAGTCTATTCTTCCCATGATAGACACCCACAGACACACCTTGAACTTTTATCTCCCCTCCTTCAGGATACTATTCATAGCATTCCTGTGCTTGGAGTTATCCTTCGCTAATTTAATAAATATTGAGCATTTACTATTTGCCAGTTCAAGGCCCATAATAAAGACAAAAATCTCTTTCCTTGGGAACTTGACAGTCTAGTAGGTTCTGTATTCTCTCTTCCTTTGTTGCTTATGGCTTCATTCTCATTACCCTCCAAACTTCATCCCAAAGGCTTCCCCTTTTTGTGAACATTTTCCTGATTTTTTCCTACCAAAATAAATTTGTGTGTCCTTTGAAATGTAGCATTTTCCTACCTTTGCTGCTCAGATGGCTTTTTATCTTCTGCTTCCCTGTTCTGTAGGGTTTTTTTGCCCATCCTTCCAAACTGTGTGTTTCTGGAGGGTAAAAGGTCTAGAATATAAGCTTCAAAAGGCCAGCATGATTTAGTGTGTTTTACTTACTTTGTATCCCAATAATGATAGTGGGCAAATAGCAGGTTCTCTATATATTCTGCATGCATGAATGAATGAATGCCTTTGTATCCCTTACATTACCTTGCTGTGTTGTATTCAGGGAACTAGATTTACAGTCAAAAGTCCTAGATTTAAAACCAAGCTGAGAAGCCATATTTTTCCTCTCTGAGACTGAGCTTCCTAATATGTAAGAGGGAAGTAAGATTTGTGCTTTCCTTACATTATAGAGTTGCTTTTGAGGATCAAATCAGTGTGGTATTATAGAAAAGAACTCTGTTCACTGATAAAGGAGTGTAAGTTGTTATAACTAAGCCTGTAATGATTAGTACTGAATGAATAAAGGCATGTGTTATAGCCTGAAAATTTATGCCTCCCCACCCTCCACTCCCTCCCCTCCCCACCCCCACCCAATTCATATGTTGAAGGCCTAACCCCCAGTGTAATGATATCTGGGGATGGGGCCTTTGGGAGGTAATTAGGGTTAGATTAGGTCATGAGTCTGGGGCCTTCCAGATGGGATTAGGTCTTAGGCTATTATAAGGAGGGTGAGTGAGAGCACATTCCCATCACCCCACCTTGTGTGGGGCACAAAGAAGTCATGTGAACACACAGCCAGATAGCAGCCACCTACAAGCCAAAAGAAAGGGTTCAGAATGAAATTTCCCTTGTTGGCACCTTGATCTTAGACTTTCCAGCCTCCAGAACTGTAACAAATATCTGTTATTTAAGCCACCCAGTCTATGGAGTTTTGTTATGGCAACCTGAGCTAAAATAGCATACATGCGAAAATGAATGAATGGGAAGGAAAAACTATGATTCCTTGAAATCTGAGCTATTTGGAGATTCAATCAAGAAGTAAATAAAGGCACTCTATATGGAACAGTGGCTTCAGTCATTCCAGAGAATTAATGGATGTTTAAAAGTGCTGAGCTGTAACTCTGGGGACTATATTTCCTGAGATCAGCTTTACTGCTAAATTCAGGAGATAGGGAAAAAATTACAGTGTGTGTGAAGAGACCAAAGTCTCAGTGGGTGTCTATGGGAAAGTCACTGTAACTCTCTGAATCCACTTATCTATAAAATGAAGATTAGAAAGTCCAACATATCTACCTCCTAGCATTGTTTTGGTGATCAAATAAGTTTATGTGCTGATAAATGATTTATAAATTATTAATTGCCAATAAAATGTGAGAGATTATCAGTAGTAGCACACCATTAAAGACTCATGGTGCTTCATCCTTTGCTTCTAAAAATTAACTTTCTTACCCAAGATTTACTTACAATCTAGAATTCCCTAGCACCCTGGAATTTAATGAAAGTATTAATTTTTGAATCTACACAACAACCCCATGGGCCATGTTTTCTAAGGAAGAAAACAGTCCCATGGAGGCAAAGGAAATTGTTTAGGCTCATACAGCTTGCTGTTGGCACAACTAGGTTCCCAGCACATGCTCGGTAATTCCAAATAATGAAATTTTCCGTGAAAACACAAAGATCTGAACTTTCTTGTTTTCAAATACAACGGATTTTATTTTCAATGTGACATAGTTTTCCTTATTATCACCTTCAGCCCAATAAAGGTAATATGTGAATTTTATGAAATTTCCTACCTTTAAGTGTCAGCAAATGTGCAATGTTCTTACTGTCGACTTACATTCAAGGTGGAATTTAATAGTGGGTTCCTGAAGATCAGATTGGCAGGGAATCATGTTACTGATATTTAGTTTTTCACCAAGTTTACTATAAATAGCCTGTTACTATAAAAATGTTTTGTGCTTGTAAATATATGTAAAAAGTATATGATCCTGCATATTTTTTAACTTAGAGTGCTGGCATAAAATAAGGGGACTGAGGTTTATATTCAATATCTTCAGATATTACTTATTAATCAAATAACAAGATGGGTGAAGTCTAGATTGTATTTAAATCTCTGGAGGAAGGATGGTGATGAGGTGTAGAATCTTAAAGTAGGCTTTTGAATATAGTCTGTAAGTAGGCACATGGTAGAACTGAAGAAGAAATTGCTTCCCTAAGCACCGTTATTCTGAAGAATACTAACAATAGCAAGAAAAGACATTGATGACCTCAGAGAAACATGAATAACATATTATGGCTCAGAATATATCGACAGGCATAGCCTGACTCACAGGAATTTAAAGCAAATTTGGTATTCAGAAGTCAGATGCATTTCTTTCAGGCTCCTTCTGTTTTTTTAAAGAACTTGTTAAGTCAACCTTAGAGTAAGAACAGAAGTTATCTTTTTCCAGAGTGAAATGAATTTTCCTCACCCTAAATCTTATCATTCAAAGGCAGTTCAACAAGGCAAGACTAAACCCAGGACTGAGTGCCGTGTGGGAAGTCTCCACCCTCAGGAGCACCCCTTCTCTCCCTGCTAAGGTTTCTGCCTAGGAAGCCCCAGAGGGGCTGAGGTCATGACACAATTCCAGGACCCAGAAGCCCAGCGGAGCAGCTTTTCCCCTAAGCATAAGGTCACAGCCTCTTTAACATTTCGCCATCACACCATATTGCATCCAACACATGCCCACCCCCCATCCCTGGAGGACTTAAAATCTGAGGATTAATTGAGGAGTTTTGCTTATTTAGTAGCAAATATCTTGAATCCAAGAGTCTTAGACTTTTAGATGCATATTTTGAAAATAAAAATATTTTTATATGTATTGTCATGAAAATATGTGTTGTTAAAGGTAATAAAACCCCAACCACAATATATCACCGTTTTTATCAGACAATGATTAGGTCTGTATTCTTGGCTGATGCCCTCACCCCCGCCCCCACCACACCCTCTCATTTGCAATCTCTTTTTAGGTCACATAAATTTATTCAACAAGTATTTTGGGAAGCACCTACTATGTCTGAGGCACTGATCTAGGGGGCTGGAGATACAGCAATGAGAAAACAAACATAAATCTCATCAGAATACAGAATAAAAATGAGATTATTAAAATTTGAGACAGTGGTTGGTTTAATTTTTTCTTTCTCTCTTTTGTAGTCCAGGAATACCAACAGTTTTCTCTCTCCCAATCTTACTCTAAAGCAAACCATGACCACAATCTAGGCTATGCATGTCTTACATGCTGGACATTATGCTGGGTTCCACAGAGCTATCAGAGAGAAGAAAACAGGTCTTGCCTTCAAGTAGCAAGGGCAGGAACACTGTGCTTCCAAGACTTAGGATTTTTCTATGATTCTTTCTAGGACTCATTCTTCATAACATATCTATTAATGCCATAACAAATCACTATTTAATATGTTCACTGAACCCTGTGTGTTTTCCAGTTAGGTGTTCTATAGTGTAAATCTTCAGGGATTAGTAATTTCCACCTGCCAGTGCCATGCCTAGCAAAATCTGATGCAAAAACCATTTCTCCAACATGCCAATTGGCAAAGGCATGAGGTTAGGTTTTGTTCAGGCAAACAGATTAGCCCTCTAAGGGTTAATTAGGAAGTGAGCCCCTTTCAGAGCCTGGAATTGTTTACTTCAGTCGTTTTCGTGCAAACTGCCATGTTTCACTTGGGTACTAATTGTGCCTGATGGACCCATTATTTTGTAATCAGAGCAGTTCCTGGCTGGCTCTCTGGAGGTTAATTAAATGGATGAGGTAGTGCCCCGGATATTACTAGCAGACAGGACCACTTGAATTTCTCACCACCTGCATCAGAGAAAGCCCCGTTACTATGCACAGTCATGTTTCTCAGCACCAGTGGTGCCTGTCAGAGTTGGAGTTTATTAGATTACTGTACCGAGAGAAGCCCAGCTGATCCGTCAATGCAGTCCTGCCCGGCTTGGCCCAGTTTTTGCTCACAGAGAACTTGTGCCAGTGGACTCTGGAAGCCCAACCTGCACACAGGCAGCCCTGTTTACTACAGAAGATGATTCCTGCCCCGGGTTAAATGTGTATACCTCAAGGAAATGTTGGTGCCTTCAAGCCGAAGGCGCTTAAAAGCTAGGAAAGCAGCAATCTACCCTGAAACACACTGTACTAAACCCAGCAAGAGACCACAATGACTGGTAAGGTGATCAGACACCTCCCACGTCGCACCCCTGCTGCTGCTTATGGGGGCTCACCTTGTAATCTGCCAGGCTTTTCCCTGGTTGCATTTTTCCCCCCTACTGAATTTCGAGCTCAAGACACTTTGTGTAAAATGATAGCACGTTATTTTTGTCATATGTTATTCTTTTGTTTTCCAACAAGCCCAATGGGATTTAATAACCTGGAGAGAGTGTTGTGTATTGAGGCATGAATGAGGAAAATGGTAAATTCTAGAGCTTTAATGTCTAAGCCCTTCTATATTTGGGACCATTGGGAAAAGCGGCAAACCAGGAAAGAGTGATTTTTTATGAGGCTTTGTACTCGGATCCACAATATCAATTATAGTGAAGCACTTCTGTTGCATATTGAAATGTCTGAACTAAAATCATAAGTAACTTAGGAAAATGATCTTGGAGAAGTTTTTTATGGGGTTAGCTCTTGCAGTCTTTATGTCAGAAGACCTGGGGTTGTTTGAGGGTAGAAAATGTAACATCATGGAAAGTTTGATGCCTGTGATGGAGCGTGAAGACCTAATTTCGATTCTTATTTCTTGCATGTATGAATTGTGTCCATACACATATTAGGACATACAGTGCTAGAACTAGATAGATGTTGATGGATATGATTCTGAAATGGAAAATACTGATTCCTTAATGAAATGTTCTAATAGGAAAAGAGGAAGAAAGAAGAAGGTAGTTGCCAGTCCTGGGCAGCACAAAGGAATGCTGGAGCAGACTGCATTACATGGGGATCTGGCAAGGTGTATATCAGCTTCAGATCTGAAGCCACTCCTTACCTCACTTTTCTTTCCCAGTCTTGGGTTCTTTTTTCCATGTGTTTCTCCAGTGCTTAAATATCTGGACTGCATCAAGACTGTCCTTCTGGGAAAATCAGACAAAGCATTGGTCCTAAAGGCTTTCTGGCAGTGAGACAGTATACTGTTCATGCTCTAGAGCATCCCGATTATTCCCAGTGCTTAAGAAACATGTATTTATCACATTCTAGTAATGATATGTATCATATGCTACTGATGATATATAGTATTATATTAATATATGTAACTATTATACATGTACAATTTTTAATACCTAAAAAATGTTTAATAGTAGATTGCAGTGGTTGGAACAAGCTATATTTGTTAATGACTTAGTAACTACAGTGTTTTTTATCCTATCATTAGCTAATGTCAATCTATTATATTTGTAAGAGTAGATTTTAGGCCAGATTTTGAAATTCCTTGACAAATTTGGAATTTTTTTCCTAGTTAGAATGTTACTGTGTTTACCTTATAAATGGGCTAAAAGTTTATACTAGAAATTAGAGGAAAGCCAATTCTACATTTTTCTTATAGTTCATATGTACTTGTTTCATTTGTATTTTTGCTTTATCTTCAAACTATGGTTTGTTTGCAGGGAATTTTTTTAAAGCCATTTGTCCATTTTGTGACATTTATTTAGTTAAGCACAGAAATAAAATACACAAATTAAGCAACAGCAGTATGTTGACAAATTAGGTTATTATTACTTTTATATCTACGTATGGTAGTAGTAATTTTCTTGCTTTAAAAAAATAACTTGGGTAAATTCTGCAATGTAGACCATATATGGCAACAATGAGTATGTTATATATCCACAAAAATGAAAATTTTCTTAATTAGGAAAAAACATATAAATTCCTTTTTATTTTGACATGGTAGTGATCATATTGTACCCCACACCCCCACCACTAGTGAAATCATCCCATTTTGGAGTCCAAGAGGATAGATTTTAGTGATGATAGCATTGAATATTTTGTCCCATTAAGCCTTTGACTATCAACTAGCAGCTGGAGCTATTCATTAGCACAGAAGCAGCTAAAAAGGATGACTTTACAATTGGCATAGCCATTTATTGAGAATTTACTAAATGTCAGGCACTACATTTGTCATCAGAAATATAAAAGTGATCATGTTTTTGGCTTTAAAGTGGCTCAAAGTTTCATAGGAGAGATCAATCAAAAAGACAGTTATGGTGCAGTGTGATATGTGCCATGATAACAGTACACAGGAGCAGAGAGGACATTAGGGAAGGTGGAAATGATTGAGCTGACTTTTGAATAATGAAGACTCAGCTACATGTTGAAGTAGGAGAAGGATAGCTTAGGCAAAGAGAAGATTCTATTTTGTCTTCACCAAAAACGTATGAGGAAATAGGTTTAAAGAGTTGTTAGTAAAGAGAAGAACTTATATTCACATCCGTGTAGACTTAATCCTCTACCATACTGTCTTATGAAATGCATCAAGAAGAGAGATCTCTTTTTTTACTTGGGCATTTCTTTTAATATGCATTCATAACTGGCAAACATTGTATACAAGGTTCATTTTAACAACATAGACTAGAATTTCTTACACTGTATCTTGTAGAACACCAGTGCCTGAAAATGCTTCGTGGCAAATAGTTCCATGGTTAAATAAGCTTAAGAAAGGCTGAATACTGTTTCCTTCTTGTAGATACACATTAACACAATAGAATTCTGAAAAGTCCTGTAATAAAAGAACAGAAATAAACAAACAGTAAATTTAACTTTGCTTAACTTAGTGATTCTGAAATGAATTATACATTTCAGCTAAAATAAATTTGAATACCTTAGAAAAAAAAAATCAGTGTAGCCAGTACCTTATCAGGACAGACAAGGACAACTTGGTTTAAGTTAGTTCAGACATTTTTGATAATGGATTATCACTTATCCATTCATAGTGTAATAGCTGCAACTTCAAAACTAGAATAACAGACATATCATCATGCAGACTTTTATTTCATGGTGCTTTTTAGTCTCTTTATATAGGGCCATCTATGGAAAGTGCTTCTGAGATTAACCTAAATCAAGATATTCTCAAAATCTAATATAACATTTCCATAAAAAATATGTAGCATTTTAAACCAAGGTCCTATCCATATCTACCATTCTTATTTAAAAATACTGGACTGAATGAATTTGCACCTATCAAAGATACCATGATACTTCATTGTAAAAGCAATGCTAGCACCTCAGCTTCTCTCTGTATAGACTGAACATTTTTGTAGTTGGAAGTGACAAAAATAAAACTCAAATAACCTTGAGCCGCAAGCCCATGTTCTCCTATTTCATACACCAACAATAAGACTGCTGGTAGCTCCAAGATCATTTTTAGAGCTGCAGATCCCAATGTGCATTTTCCTTCATAGCTCCTACTATTGACTGACTGTCTTGGGCCAATCACTTTGGCAGGAATAGAGTTGTCTAGTCAGCCCTAGGGTGCATGCAAATCACTGGGACATCCTGGAATGTGAAGGTGTGTCGTGGGGGGCAGATCAGATGAACCACAGGAACTCTACATGTTTATTAAAGAATGTGGGATAGGCAGCTTCCCCATGGAATGAGTACTGAGATAGGACAAAAACATATGCTCTAAATATTTGCCATACCTATTCTGAAACCACATATATATATATACATTTATTTAAATGTATATACATTTAAATATATTTAATTATATATATATAAAAGATAAATGTTTAAAGTAACATAGCAGATAGTTAACAAAGGAGGATGTTGTTCATTCTTTTCTTCCATAAAAACCTAATTTAAACTCATAAGCAAGCCAACTTTGTATGCAAGTCCATGATACAGATGAAAAATTATGACAAAATACATTGAAGCCCTAATGTTCCAATGAAGAGCCCCATTAAACGTGGAAGCCACAAAAGTATTTTACAGTTTACTAAAGTTGGTCTTCATTTTCCTTCATAAATTTTCATGTCCTATACAAACAGACTTGTTGCAAATGCCCTTATACCCAACCAGGATGCAATATTAAGTAGGACAGAAACAGGATATGCCGACGACAGCCTGTGGCCTGGCCATTCAGTCCATGGCTGTGACTCCTTCATCCGAGCAGCCCTCTTCCACCACGTGTGCCTGCTCTACCAGGACACAACTTAGGCCTTTAAAAACAGGAGACAAACAGACGACTACAGGGAAAAGGAAAAGAATTTGAGGCCTTCTCATCCTGCATAAGAAATTAAGTCTTCAGGAATGTAAGAAATTAAGCCAATTCATACATGTGTATAAATCACAAGGAAAAGAAGAGTTTTCAGCATTTTGCTTTGAAACACATTTTTTTTAAGTAAAGCAGACTACGGTTTCTGGAAATTCTTGATTAAAATCTATCTTCCCTCCTGGGGGCTATATATTTTGTTGTAGATTTGTGTATTTTCTTGTTGTTGTTTTAATCAGAAAGCAAATTAAGTTTTAGTAAAGCCTATCTGAGGGAAATTCACATGTTAGAGGAAAGGAGAAGCTACTTTAGTTTATATAATATAGCACTAGGCATGCAAAGAAAGATTGGGGAATGTGTGACAGTAAAACTGGGATAGTTGAAAAGGCTGTATTTTTAAAATAACAGTATAAACACCTACAGCTCAGGTTTAGCATAAAAACTTATGGAAATATTTAAAATTTAAGACCTTCGGAAATTATAAGTTTAATATGATCATCTCAACCTAGGATTTTATATCCATAGATAATATCGATATGATGTTCTTGCCTTTTACTTATAAATCTACTTACTATAATTTTCTAAGAAATAGGAGAAGTATCTGTTCCGAAAAGATAAACTCAAATTAATGCCTGTTCCTTGTTTATTTTATTTTATAGATAGGGAAAACGAGAGAGTGATATAAAATTTTCAAAATTTTTCAGAAATTTTAAAAAATATACATTTATTCATATGCTTCATGCTTCACCAATAAATATATATTATTTTTCTAAAATCCATAATATATACTATGTAGCTAACATATAGACAGGAAGGAGTTTGTGTTTATGTAAGTAGGTGTGGCAATTACTGGAGAGCAAGGCAGGTCTTAGCAAATGTCTGTCTAACTGATCAGCTTCTCACCTTTCTACTGCCCTCTGTAACCTCTAAGGAAAAGGGTTAAAAATAGCCAATCCAGCAAAAATGTAAAGTCACCAGGGAAGACTAAGATGCAACCACAGCTCCTCTGGTTAAACTGAGAGGAAAACAAGTGAGAGAAGACTCCAGGTCTTCCATGAGTCGATCTGTCTGGCACTCCTTCTTTTCCTGTGGCCACCATTCCTCTTACTACCCTGATGCTATGTACAGGCAAGTCCAAGGTGCCCAGCAGCCTGGTCGACACGGACACCTGAACTCTGTGTGAGGCTAACCCCACCTCCCAGCACAGGTTCTCCCCCACCAATCACACTTATGCACAGCTCTGTTATGGCAACAAGCCCACTCCCCAGGTTTTGTTTCTGTCAGTTGGGCTACAACTTGTTTCCATTCTGCAGAGAGCACTGGGTCAGTAGGACAAGGTGGGCTAACGTTGCCCTGTGTAAGAGGTGTCCATAATGAGTATACATTTTTGAGCAGTAGCATTGGCTAGTGGAGGGATAAATTTTTCACCAAAGTAGCAGATGGGTCAGACGTTTCCCATGGCTCTGAAAGGGAAGGAATCGATAAGGGCTTCTGTCCAAAGAGTGTGCTTGGATAAATCTCATGTACATGGTGTACTGGAAAACAGCTTTTTTGTGTGTGATCAGCTTTGTCTTGAATCACTTAATTATGTGGCTTTGAGCTTCATTTTTTATCTCTACAACAGAGATTCATTCATTCATTCAACGTATTTATTAAGCTCTTACATTGTGACATATATTGTGCTAAGTGCTAGATATACATAAGCGTATATAGTAGACTGTCAACAACTAGTAACTGTTAGGCACAAACTGCATAGTACTTTGCCTTCTTTTCTCTCCCATGATTATTGTTAATCAGCAGTTGCTTGTATTTTGTTGAATATCTGTTCTGTGGGTAGCTGTTGAAAATAATAATAATTAGTAGTAGTACTATTATTTTAAAAAGAAGAAGCCATAGTCCTAATTACAAGCAGCTCATGGTCTAGGTGAGAAGACCTAATCAGCTTTGAGAATAATGAGTAGCTGGATTCTTTCCTGCCTTTAGCATTTACATTCCTGCTTTTTAAAAATACCAATATTCAATGCCAGTACAGACTTATTAAATCAGAATCTCAGAGTGAGGCCTGGACATCAGTTCATTTTAAAATTCTCCAGGTGCTCTAATTTGCAGCCAGACTGACAACCACTGGTCCAGTCGTTTGCAGGCCCTGAGACTGGCCACAACACCTTGATTATAAATACCACCTGAGCTGCAGTAAACTCTGACATCCCAGGAAAGAACTCAGAATTTAGCATCCCCAGGTAACGCTTTCAACTCTTTGAAGTTGAGGTTAATATTTCTTTAAAAGTTTGACCAGATTCGGTTCCTATACTAGGAATTTTGTAGAAACACAGCAAAATGTCATTTATCAAATTATACAAAATTAAAAGTTCTTTAGAAAATACATGCCTAATGTTCACTCTGTAGTCATTTGTCATCTTGCTTCTCCTTAATGTTCAGTTTTGTCTCTTTGTACTCTCTCCTGGTACCCTGAGGTCCAGCAGTACAAAGTGTCAGCAGCTCCCCAGAATTTGCCTCTCTCTCTAGCCCTTCCCTATGCTGTTGCGACTTCCTGTCCTCCAACACCACTCCATTTTCTGGGACACAGTAGAGGTGTCGTTTGTTCTAGTAAATCTTTCCTGACCCCACAGCCCTTGTGTGACTCCCATTACACCTCACATGTTCCCTCTCCAGAGCTTATCATGTGGTTTTCCCTCTTCACTGCTCTGTATTCCTCTCTGGGCTTTAAGTTTCATGACAACAGGAAACAAACCTGTATTAGTCACCATTTTATCTCCATTTTCTATGTAGCACCAAGCATATAGTAGATGCTCAATAAATATCTGTTGAATTGAATTTGTTTGAATACAAGTTTCTATTTATGCATATATACAATAAATGTATAAGGTATCAATTATCTAGCTCTTGGGAACCCAAATCACTTTCACATAAAATTCCCAAATAATTTCCACATAAAAACCCCCAAATACCTCACAGGTGTTTTCCTGTGAGGAAACCCTTTCCTGCCAAATTTAATGCATTTGAAAACTAATAGATGTCCCTTCTCTCCCACTTACCTTTGACCTCCTTGGGCTCTAATTCATCATCTGTAACTGCAAGACACTTCTTGTCACAAAGCTTGGGAATGAAGAACACAGGTTCTTTCTAGCTGTAAGAGGAATGATTTCTCAGTCCGCTCCTTGGAGTCATGCCACAAGTTCACATAAGAGATTCATACTCTTAACTGAGGTGTCTGCTATTGCCAGTGGTAAAGGATTTCCCAGGCTGTGCTGTGCCCTCTCTGGCAGATGGTGCTAGAGCCAGTCCTGGCATATTGCTGGGAAATGATGTGATCAATAGTGAGCACTAGAAGTCCCAGAACTATGTTCTTTAGTTTCTTGGAAGCCTCCAAATTCCCAACAGTGGATACTGACTCCTATGCAAGAGGTGTGAGCAATGTGCTTTGTGTTGAAGAAGAAATAATGTTGTTCAAATGATAGCCTAATAAACTAGTCATTACTTCTAATTGCTGGCATTAGTACTTGAAATTTCCATTCTCCAGGATTATTGTTGTTTTCATTATTAAGTGGCTCTCAAACTTGCAGCACTTTCTTCCTTTGTCAAGGATCAAGTTGCCACAGGAATATATTTGGGCTGTCTTTTCAGAATTCATAATTTTGTTGTTTAATTCAGTACAGAGAACTTTAATGAACCAAAATTTAAATCTGGAACACTGGCTGGGCTCAATTCACCTACTGCTGATTCAAAGCTCCTTAGCATATCAAAGCGGTAAGAGCACAATGCAGGTGACAACTCAGACTGCATAATGAGAAACAGGGCATGTGGAATTTGGGGCACTGCTGCAAGTGCCCAGGGCTATTGTGATTTTGAACATTCCATACTTATCGTGGTTGTTAGGTACAAGAGATTTCAACACTTTACTGTGTCAACTATGTCCCAGATTCTCTGGCATATTCTTGGGCTTACTGTGTATCTTATCTGTTTTTAACTGGGGTTCTATGAAAGGTATGCCTTTATTCTTGATCAGATCCCTGTTTAACCACATCACTTTGCAAATTATTCAGATTTCAGTGATGCTGAATTATTGAGAAGGACAAGGATAATACAGAACAAAGGTGGTCCTTTGTAGTTTGAAAGACTCTGGTTGGAATCCAATTATAACACTACGCAAGGTCTGAAATCTTATCAAACCTCCCATTCAGGGTTATTGTAAGGATTGAATAAGATCATAAGCGAAGTTTGAGTGAGATCATTGGGATGTAATCTGCTCCAAGATGCAGAGATTTGTATCTGTTTTGTTCCCTGCTGACTCTCCAATGCTAGAGTAGTGCCTGGTATATAGTATTCACTCAAGAACATTTTGGATAAATGAATATCAAAAATGCAAAATACTAGCCATAGTACTTGGTGCATAGGAGTAGTTGATAAATGTTAAGTTGCTAGGTTGTTCCCAGAATTAATGGGAGACAGAAAAAATCACAGTAAACACTATTTAAGAATGTAGAGTGCTACAGGGAGACACTTTGAAAAGGGATTCACTTTTCTACAGGAGACTGAGAACTTGTCATACGTCTTATGAACTTGTCTTGATAATGTGTGTGAGTATATCCTTTCTTATGCTCTAAGTCCTCTTGTCAGAAAGAACAAAATCTACGCTGGCTGATTGTCCTAGAGTTATTATATCAACAGTGTCTGTTTCCATGATACCACGGAATGTGGCTCACTTGTCAGCCAGAACTCTCCCAAAATGATGGCTTTCCCACAAGCATTTAATGAAGGAAAATAAAAGTATGGAGAAAATTAAAGTATGGGGGAAATAGTATGGAGAAAAGTACTGGAGAAAGGGGTTAGCTAAAAACAGAACTTTGTTTATCCTTTTTATATTGCTTCTATTGTTACTGATATAATAGCATACCAATGTTCAAATGTAGTGATCTTAGATGAAGGAAGAAAGAGTAATAAATTGAACATAAAACGCCCTTCATCTAAAATCACCAAATTTGAACACTGCTACATTCATGCATGTGCTCTGCTCCATATATATTCATATATCTACATATGAAATATATAAATATTTTAAATAGCACAAATAATTGTAAATAAGTTACAGGCATCACGGCATGTTACCCCAACTACTTAACTATTTCTGCATCTATGTCTGAGTACCTAGAACTCTCTTCTATATAAGCGCAATAGAATTAGTACACATAAGACTTTAAACAGTGATATGATAGTATTAGTTTATTTATTTCCATGTGCAAATGTTCCCAGGTGTGACAGCAATGTCCTTCTAACTATTATCCTGGAGTGGAGGTATTAGTATCTGGTGATCAGAGATTACATTATTTGTCACGCCTCATTAGTGTCCTTCAATATTGAACTGTATTCCACTTTTTAAAAAATCTTTCATGATAATTAATACTTTTGAAGAGTGAGACTGTCTTGCAGAATGTACCCCTAGTTGGTCTTTATTTCCTCACAATTAGATATTAAATGTTTTGGTTAAGATTCAGGATAGGTGACTTTATATAACACGACTGTAGCTTGTCTGTATACCTTTTATGCTTTCTCTCCCCGCGTTCGAGCTCCCGGTGGAGAGGGGCCATGTCTTACTCCTCTTTGTGGCCTCTGTGGGCTCAGCTTGGGTTTGGCCCATGCAGGTAACTCATTGTCTTCCCCCAATTCATTCCTTCTTTTAATTGATCATTCTAGTTGCTGTATTACCATTCATCCACTCACCCATACTAGGAAGCTAGTTCCTCTTCTGATCTCTAATCACAAAGTCTTCCCTGTTATACCTGCTGAATATTTCCCCAACTGTTTCCCTATTTCCATTCCTATTTGAGGCCTTCGTCATCCTCTCCTATTAGAACTATTAGAGCAGCCTGCTAACTGACCTCCTTCCTGCTAGTCTAGGTCCCAACAAATCTAACTTCAAGCCAGTTTTCAGAGTGTTCCACTGATAAAGCAAATCTGACTGTGTTGCTTTCCCGATTAAAGACCTTCAGAGGCTTCAATGATTTATGGGATAGAGCCCAGGCACTTCAGCCTGATGAAGCCCTCCACAATCCAATTATCTCCTACATCCTACCCCATCCTGCCTTGTACTTTTCGTTTCAGTAACATTGAAACCCTTGTAAAAGCATTAGCAATCGACATCTGTGGAGGACTGGCCACATGTAAGGCATTATAGTGCTTTCTGCCCATATGCGATCTCATTTAATCCTTAAATCAGTTTGTGAAGTAGGTGGAATTACTTGCATTTTATAGATTAGGAAATGATTTGCATTACTCAGCTAATAAGTGGTAGAACCAGGACTTAAACACAAACCTGAAGCCCTTGCCTTTTTCACCTAACCAAGGTTGTCTCTACTCACCGTGCTATTTCTTACCTTGATGCCTCCCACCTGCATGGAACGCCTTCCCCCAACCACTTACACTTGTTGCCAAGCTGACTCCACCAATCCTGTAGAACTCAGATGTAGTATCTTTTATTACTTCTTGTGATGGATTAGATATCTCTAGATACTTTAGAAATATCCTAGTATAACTCTAGTGCTATAATTATATTGTAATTTAGTGATTGCTTTAAACGTCTCTGTGTCTGTCCCACTAAACCACCAGGGCTGACCGTGTGGTGTTCTTCCTATACATCCAGAGTCAGAATAACAACTTGGTAAACACTTGCTAGCTGAGTGCATGGATGGTAAGGCCACAGAGCTCTCAATGTTGCCATGTTGCACACTGCTGATTTAGACAATGTCTTTGTACAGTAGTCCCCTCTTTTTCACAGGGGATACATTCCAAGACTCCCAGTGGATGCCTAAAACCTCAGATAGTACTGAACCCTATATATACTATGTTTTTGCCAATGCATACATACCTATGATAAAGTTTAATGTTTAAATTTGGCACAGTAAGACATTAACAATAATGAGAATGATTATGACAATATATTGCAATAAAAGTTACATGAATGTGGCCTTTCAAAATATCTTATTGTACTGTAGTGACCCTTCTTCTTGTGTTGATGAGAGATGATAAAATGCCCACATGATGAGATAAAGTGAGGTACACAGGTAGGCATTGTGACATGGCATTAGGCTACGACTGACCTGATGATCAGGGGGCCCATCTGCTTCCGGACTGCAGCTGACCACAGTGTAGTAATTGAAACTACAGAAGGCAAAACTGCAGTTGTACTGAGTACACTTAACAAAATTTCAGACAAAAATTTTCAGTCAAAAGAGATAACTAAGTTGTGTAACAAAACTAGAATTTAAATTACCTCTAATTTATACTGGAATCAGAACATAAAACTTCAAAAGAATAATGCTGAAATGAATTGTTATTTAAAGATTAATGCTTTAAAAAGTGTTAATGCTCCTTTAATACTTAGTACTTTTTGCATCTTACATACAGACATCTACTGTGTTACACTCATCCTGTGTACATGTAAGATGCAAAAAAAAAATTCATGTATGTTATTTTCATTGATTATGGTGTTTTAAACATTTCTATATATTCATTACTGAATAATAGTTTACTGAGTTGATTTTATTAAATCTATTCATCTAATCTTGGACATTTATGTTTTTTTTCAGTCTTTTGGAATCATAGCTGTTCAGTGCATACATTTTTGTCCATTGAATTTTGTCATTAGAAATCCTAGAGACTAAAATTACTGGATCAGAGTATATACATCTTTATTATTATTAACATATTACTTTCCAAATGGGGTATATCAACCTAAATGATCACTATAAATAAATGAAAATAATAGATTTCTTAAACTTTCACAAAGAATGGTACAATTTTTTTAATTTATTGGCTACTTTAATAGATGATTAAAGATATCTCCAGGTTCCATCAAAGACAGTCTTTTCTCCTGTATTTTCTTTACTATTGATATTTCTCTATGTAATTTTTGTATGCATGTCATGGTTTATTTGGCTTTTAGGTCCTAAGATGATTTCCTTTCGAATCTGAGTTAGTTCTTCATATATTACAAATAGTCATTTGACATTTTCAGTATAACCATTTTCCTCAGTCTGTTATTATATTAAAAATTTAATTTACATCAGTTTTCACTTAAACAGGCTTTTAATCCCTGTATATTCAGTTATGGCAACATGTTCCTTTGAGTTTATTCTATAGGTCCTTGTATTGTGTAAGGTGTTGCTCTAGCACTTTGGTATTCTAAATGTCATATTTTATCTTAATTCAACTACTATATAAGACTTCTTTGTCCCTTTGGGAAAACTGACTTAGCTTTTCACATATATTTTGGGTTTATTTCTGACTTTTCCACTCTTCTGTGTTATATGCCTTTCAGTGTTTTTGCCAGTACCACACAGTTTTAAGTTGTAATATTTTTTTATAAGTATAATGTCTAATACAGATAGATTTCTCTTTTGTTCTTTTCAGATTGTCTAT